GAGGTGGGCGGGGCAGGGGCCAGGCTGGGGTGGGGGCGTCGGGGAAGGAGGAGAAAGGGGAAGCTCCGAGGAGCTGCTTCCTTCTCGCGCGGAGACCCAGCGCCCCACTTCCTTTTACCACTTCTATTTTCTGTCGTTGCTCTGAACATGTAAAATGTCTGCGCCCCCTCCGAGCAGAAAGACGCCCTGACCCTCACCTTCCGCGGGGACCGAGAAGCACCGGCCAGTCCAGACTCCCCGCCGCGGGTCTGGCTTTCCCGCCTCCTTCAAGTGGCTGTCACTGCCTCCGTTTCTCGCCCCTGAAGGGAGAGGGGGCATCGCCGGAGTCCAGGCCTCTTCGGGCCTCCCCTTCTCTCCCCGCAGACCACGCAGCAGAGGTGGTCATGCCAGGAGGTGGGTCGCAGAGCCCTGGAAGTCAGAGCACACCCCGTGCCTCAGTGTCCTCGTTTGCAAAACGGGGCTGAGCAGGTTTGCTGCTGTGCGGGCAGCCCCAGCGGTGCCAGGCGGCACTTGACTCAGAGGTGACAGCTGGCCAGGCTGAAACTCTCACGGCCACTCCTGGACGAGGCCGCCGCAGGAGCTGTCAGAAGCTGGTTCGTTATTGTTGGTCAGAAGCCACAGCCCTACCTGAGCTTGAGAGATGTGAGCACCGATGACTTGGCTGTCCCTGGCTCCCTAAATAGCAAAAGAGCAACTTCCCCAAAGGCCTAAAACAGAAAGTTCGCTGGGTGAACACGGAGGACTGTTCCCGCCGGTAGTAAGAGGTGGTGGAAAGGGGCTCAAAACCATCTAGTGCTTCTCCTCATTCACCACTGAACCCCCCACCCCACACACACACTCACACCACCACCACCACCACCACCATTTTACAAATAAGGAACCAAGGCCATGAAAGGCAGAGGATACGCCTAAGGTCATGGGACTTGATGAGGGTGGACAAGGACTGTAGTCTCCCAATCCCTACTTTTCCACCGCGGAAGCGAGAGCGGGTGGGGAGGAGAGAGCTGGAGGTGGCCAGCCTGGAGGGGGGCGAGGGGGAGGATGGGGGAAGGGGTAGAACTGCTCTAGAATGAGGAACAGGGTAGCAAGAGTGACACACTTGTGTACCAGATTGACGTGTTGCATTATGAGATCGCTTTGAAGGGTGAAGAAAATGCTAGAGAGGTTATGGCATCCTGGACTTCTTCCCTGTCCTCGGTATTCCTGAAACTGCAGGGAGAGAAAAGCTGAAGCAGAGGTGCCCCTTAGGTCACTCCCAGGAAGCTGAGCAGCCCCTGAAGCCCACTCAGTCCCATCCTGCCTCCCCTCACAGGTGGGCGTTCTCTTCTCCATCAGCAGGTGTGGCCCAGATGTTGCGTTTTCATGTTATCCCACCCACTCAATGAGCTCCACCTGTGTCCCCTGTCCCAAGCGGACAGACCACCAACCAGGAGATCTGAGCAGCACCTGACACCTATTGGCGGGAACTCAGAACTGCAGCTACTCGGGCATCTGACTCCCACCTCCCCGAAGCAGCTGGTAAGACTCAAGGTGTCCTGTCACTCGTGTGGCACCTGATTTTGTACCACTGTGTACAGCTCTGTTGTTGCTTCATTTAAAAGTACGTCTATTTTTGTCCCTCTCCTTCCTTTCACTGCCTTATGTTTTCAAAGAGGAGTCTAGTCGTCTCAACTTCCTCATCCTACATTTATGTTTCAGTGCTCTGAAACTATCACCAAGGAAACCCCAAATGCCAAATCCAGTGCCCTCATTTCTTACCTCACTGTGGCATTTGATGCTACCCCTCCTTGAGAATTATCTCCCTTGACTTCTCCTCTTCTGCCTCTGACTAATATTTCTGTTTTCTTTTTCTGGCTTCATTTTATGGCAACCCTAGGCAACATTTATATATATATTGATTTCAGAGAGAGGAGGGGAGAGGAGGAGAGGGATAGAAACATCAATGATGAGAGAGAATCATTGAGCAGCTGTCTCCTGCACACCCCCTACTGGGAATTGAGCCTGAACCCGGGCATGTGCCCTTGACTGGAATCGAACCCGAGACCCTTCAGTTTGCAATCTGATGCTCTATATGCTGAGCCAAACCGGCTAGGGCTACAACATTTTTTATAACTCCAAAATCACTGCAAAATATACATTTAAAAAAAGCAAAAATTGAATGTTGCAACTCTTTCAAACTTTTGAAGAACTTCCCATTTCATTTTCCTTGTTACTAAAACTTAAAAAGAAAACGACAGACCACTGTTTTCTATGATAAAAATGTAAAAATCTGAAATAAAATAAGCACAGCCTAGTCAGAGTGGCTCAGTTGGTTGAGCATCATGCTGTGCACCAAAAGGTCGCCAGTTCGATTCGTGGTCGGGGCACATACCTGGGTTTGATCCCCAGTTGGGCACGTACAGAAAGCAACTGATCTCTCTCTCCCTTCTTCTGTCTAAGCAAGTCATTTGGTGAGAATTAAAAATAAATATGTAAGTAAGTACAAATTGTATTCATCCTTTAAGATAGTAATATGCCGTGACAAAGTAGAGTCTGTTCAAGGAATGCCAGTGTTTGAATGAGCCTAAAGCGATTCGGGCATATTCAATGGCTCAGTTGGACTGGTGGGAAGTCAGGGGCCTGCCAGGAGGGGTTTATGGCGGGTCTTGGGTTGCAAGATTCAGTGAAAGCTCCAGCTGGTCAACATAGGAGACTTAGGATCTGACTGATCAGTTGCCATTTTAAAGTTCAGAAAGGACATTTGGGGTAGAACTGATGAAGGTGGGGGCCAACCTTCACCGCCCCCGAGTCCCTCCCAAGCAAGTCCATTGATGCTTTACTGGTAGCAGTGTCACCGCTGTCCCAGGTCAGATCAGATTGATTCCTGATCCTCATGGAGAAAAGAGCTTCAGGCAACAGCAAAAGAGTAGTTTCCATTAGGGTCCTGGAGAACAACAGGGGTAGGGGGGTAGATTTCCGGGGGCGGGGAGGGACACAATGAAGGAAGCTTTGAAGGAAGCTGGAGGACTGAGCAGGAGTCAGAAGCTCAAATGTCTCCAAGAGCCAAGCAGGTCCAAGTCCTGCACAGAACTGGTGAGATGGTGTCCACTCACCTGTCTTATGTCATCTCATGGCAGCTTCCTTTACGCTGAGCCTCCAGAAACAAGCCCTGCTGAAATATCAGTCCCTTTCCCTCCAGTTCAAAGGGTTCCTCGCCCCACACAGCTTTTGCACATTCGTCTTCGGATTTCTCTTCTGGAGGCATTGTGCATTGTACTCTTTCAACAGGCACACTTCATATATTACACAAAAAGGAATATTCTTCACTCCCGGCAAGAAATGTGCCTCCTCCCATTTCTCTTGAAGCATACAGCCCGCTTGGCCTCTTTTATTTTTCCACGTTTGCTAGAGACATGATTACAAGAAATATTTCACTCTTACCTAATTCCAATATATGAAAAAACAAAACCAATTGCACAAATACAAAAACTGGCGACTGACCCCTGACCTTGCTGTCTGGGAACAATAAGGTTTGGAAAGGATGCAAATGAGGAGACCGCTAAAGGAGGCCCCCTGGGAAAAGCCCGGCTTCAGCCCCGTGGAAATGCAGAAGTGATGTGGTCAGACTTTATAATTTTTGAAGAAAACCAAAATTTGGAACTCTTGATCTGAAATTGCCTGGTTTGTAAATGCAGGAAATTCAGAAGAGTATTTTAAAACTCCTCGCAGGCCAAGCCAGACGCGGCCTACTGGCTTCCAGTGTGTGACATCTGGTCTGTATTGTTCAGGTGGGAGCTGCGGCAGCGAGCTCTGAGTTATTTCTGTTAATGTGCGCTAATTTGTTCCCACTGGCGTGAGAGACCGTTTATGCGAAGGAGGGTCAATGTTCAAAGTTTATTAATGTTGTTCATCATATGAATGGGCCACCGGAGAACAACTGCATAATTAGCCTAATAGGATGCACCCTGATGAAAACCCTTAGGGACTAGGAATAAAAAGACTTTGTCAAGATGATAAATGTTATCTCAAGCCCACAGACCATATGATAGCTGGTGATGACCAGGAATGGAGAGCAAATATAGTTCTTTGGAACAGAGGCAATGCTACAAAAAACAAGGAGCAGAACAAGGATGGCATACTGTGAATAATGTCAACAATATTCTGAAATTTAAGGGAAAACAATAAGGAAAAATAAATAAGAGACATATATTTGGGGAGGAAGAGTTATAAATTTTGCTTATGATTATTTGCAAAAGATATGATAGTCTACCTGAGAAACCCTCGCTAATGGATTGAGAAATGTTTACAAAGAGTTGTAAAGTAGCTGTACACAAAATTATATGTAATTCAATGGTTTTCTATACACCAGCAATGACCAAACAGAAAATAAAGCTCATTCACCCCAGCAACAAAATGCCAAGGATTAGGAAATTCAAGGAACCCAGAATAGCCAAAATATCTAGAGAAAGAAAAATTGGAGGACTCAAACTCTCTGATTTCAAAACTTACCACAAAGCTACAGATAGACATACAATCAGGAGAGTATAATTGAGAGTCCAGAAATAAACCCTCCCACTTACAATCAAATGATTTTTTTAGCAATGGTGTCAAGACAATTCAAAGGGGGAAAGGTTGTTGCTGACGTAATTGGATATCCATGTGAAAAAGAGTGAAGTTGCATTCCTAACTCACACCACGCATAGAAATTAATTCAAAATTGATCAAAGACCTAAATGAAAGAGTTAAAACTATAAAACTCTCAGAAGAAAACAATGGTTTTCTTGAATTAGACAATGGCTTTTTAGATATAACCTCAAAATCACAAGCAACAAAAGAAAAATTAAATAAGATGTGCAGTATCAAAACAGAAAACTTTCGTGCTTCAAGGACACCATCAAGAAACAAAAGACACCCCACAGAATGGGAGAAAAATTTTGCAGGTCATTCATATGATAGGGGATTTCAATCTAGAATATATAAGTAACTTCTATAACTCAATAATAAAAAGACATAAATACATTGAAAAATGGACAAAGGACATAAATAGATATTTCTCCAAGGAAGATATACAAAGGGTCAACAAGCATTTGAAAAAATGTCCAATGTCATTAGCTATCAGAGAGATACAAATAAAAACCACAATGAAATACTATGTCACATCCCCTATAATCAAAAAGGCAGATAATAAGTGTTGACAGGAATGTAGAGAATTTGGGACCCTCATATATACATTGCTGATGGGAATGTAAATGGTGCAGCTGCTTTGGAAAACAGTCTGGCAGTTCCTCCAAAGGTTAAACAAGAAAACCATATGACCTAGCAATTCCACTCCTGGGTATATACCCAAAAGAAGTGAAAACATGTGTGCACACAAAAACATATACACAGATATCCATAGCTGTATTATTTACAACTAGAGGCCTGGTGCAAGGATTCGTGCACCAGTGGGGTCCCTCTGCCTGGCCTGCACCCTCTCGCAATCCGGGACCCCTCGGGGGATGTCGGACTGCCGGTTTCGGCCCAATCCTCGCAGGCCAGGCTGAGGGACCCCACTGGTGCACGAATCCATGCACCAGGCCCCTACTATGCATATAAGATCTTTGGTTTATCTCTTCCCGCCCTTCCCGCTCCCACCTTCCCTCTGAGATTCATCAGTCTGTTCCATGTTTCCATGCCTATGCATTGA